CCATTTGGAACACCAATGAAGTTATTAGTTCGGACAGGATTCTGGTAATCAGTATGTACATTAAAATGTTTTTCAAGTTTTACACCACTGAAAGCTTCATTATTTACTGTTCGTGGTTTTCTGTCATAAAAATGATCAGGATCTGCCATTTGAATTTCTCTTTTCCCTCGTTTTTGATTATTATAATCAATGGATTCTTCAAGAAATGGATTTTCTTTTGCCTCTGCGTAAGATGAACCTTTTCCTGGTCGACTTTGCATAGAGTTATCTCTTTTTTTAAAAGCACCTTCATTATGCTGAGAACTCAAAGCATATGTAGGCTCTTTAGTTCTATCATATCTTGAATATGGTCTATCACACTTGATTCTCTCTTCAGACCATACTTCATTTACTGAAGAAGTTGGCCTTTCAGAACCTCTGTTTCTAGGTAATCCACTACCTTCAAAAATGGACTTTGAATTTGGAGTGTCTCTTTGAAAACGAGGAGGCTTTTCATTTCTTAGCTGCCTGGTATCATTTCGAGGAGGATGTCTTGATTGATTATTATCTCTTACACCATTTTGTTCCACATTAGAAAATCTATGCTGTGCCTGATGAAGTTGTTGAGGTTGTGATTTAGGTTCTTCCACATTCAAATTTCCCATTTTAGACTCTAAGAAATCAAATAATGTGCTAGGTGCTGACGGTCTTGCATTTCCCAGGTCTTCTTCATCTTCAGATCTTACTCGCCCCCTGCCTTTTCCTTTACCTCTCAGAGGTGGACCCGTAACAGGCTTCAGTTTATTGCTATTAAGAAGTACATTCAATGCAGCTTCCAAGTTGTTGCCATTATCCGTAAGAGCTTGCCTTGATGCTTCCTTACTGAAGCCCATTTCTGTTATGTGCTTCAGAGCTTTCTCGTCAACCAGTTCTCTATAGACACCTTCATGTTTTCCTTCAGGTTTAGTTGATTTATCCTTCTGTAAAACTTCTTTATTTCGGTTACCACCAGTACTGATAATGATGAAAAATTTCTAATAAAAGTATGCATAATAGCTAAAATGGATAAAATAATGCTTTTGTGTTGTTTTTATTTAAGGAACTCAATGTCACATTGTAGTTCTTGGGAAAAAAATCATACATTAAGGAAGTATTTGTCATACAAAAAAACTTAATACTCATTGCCATCAAATTTGAACTGACTCATAACTGGCCGTCCATAGGTTTTCAAAGGCTATAAATCATAAAGGGAGAGATTATTCATCCCTCACCCCCCATAGAATGGCTGGTGGATACCCAAGTATGTAAAATTACATCTTTGTAAAAGAGCAAAGAGATCTGTGAGCAGCAGCATCCAGATGCATGACAGGGAGCTGGGCTGGGCCTGGATGCCCATGAGCTAGAACACTCAAACACACACTAGAATAGGGCCAAGACAATTGCCACTGGTGAGCACACAGATTAAAAATGGGCAGGAATGACTGAAGCCTGAACCATACTGGGAGTTAGTTAGAGGCTTCATGGCTTTTCAAATAGCTGTTCTTAATAACTTAGATAGTTTTATGTTTGCTTGCCCATCATTGACTCTTTTGGGTTCAATGCTTGTCTTTCAGATGTGCTAAAGCAGATCTCTCAAATTAAGACATATTTAGGGATAAGGATTGATCATCCACTTCTTAAAATCCTGTGAACAACTAGCTATGGAGGCTCAGCTTTCATAAAGGGAATCACATAAATGAAGTGGAATAGTTATGAACAACCACTAATAATTGGACTGTGGATTGTATGAGATATGAATATAGGAAAATTGGACATTATTAAAAAAGAAATGTATTTTTACATACTTGGCCTTGGTGAGCTGAGATGGATTGCAACGGGCCATTTTGAATCAAACAAACATATGATGTACTATGCCAGGAATGAAAAAGTAAGGGAAAACAGGGCTTCATTCATACTAAAAATGACCATTTCTAGATGTTTATAAAATTTGTTCTGCTAAGATTATTAGCGGACCAGTTGTAAGTAGTGTTGACTCAATATTGCCCAAAATGCTTTACTTGTTAAATTAGTCCTTGATTTCCATCATCAAAAGCTCCTCCTTTGTTCAATTCTCTAGTTCCTCCATGTCCCTTGGGGTTGGATGGTTTGCTAGGAGGTCACGGACAGTAGGTATGTAGACTGGTTTTGCATAAACTGGTGAGCAGTGGGCCAGGCTGGATGTAGTTGGATGCAAGCATGCATTCCACAAGAAAACACCATATAAGCCTCTAGTAGGGTGAGGTTTGTATTCCATCCTAATCTCTCCTTAATGCAATAACTGCTTCACTACAAAATAGACTGCTAATGATTTGTTAGGAAAGACAAATGAATGATAAACCTTAGATACCCATCCTAAAACACAATGTTTTGAGTGACAGGATACTATCTATTTACATAAAAGGAAGACTTGTTAATACTGACTATCATTCAAATCTATTAACAACTAGAATCAAGGGGAAGAGAAATATTTCTATCAACTATTGCAGTTTTAAATCCAATGAATATGCAACCAAGATTAATTAGTAATAATTAGTTAATGGGATGCAAGAAATCATTAGTCATAAAATATGAACCTGGTGACAGAAATGAGACTGGAGATAGAATGATAGAAATTTGTACAATCAATGATTTATACATTGTAAATACTTTTTAAAAAAAAATCCTGCATATGGTGACTATACACATGGACCTCACATGATGGACAGCACAAGAATGGGAGGAAACATTGGAGAAGGTCAGTATGAGCTGGGAAAACTAGGGCAGGTGCCGACTATGGAACAGGCCATTGGCTACTGATGTTGAGATTTAAATTGAAGATAAAGAAAATTAAAACAAATCCACAAGAATTAAAATATGACTATGGCATTAAAAACTATACCAAGAACAGGTTTAAGTCATTTGAAACTAATGAACAAAGACCAGATGATCTGTGGCATGATATCAAGAATATTAACTAGTATAAAAAAGAATGTAAAATAGACTGTTTATTAATGACTGTATGAAACACAATGTGAATGACAGATTGTATAAAACAATATATATGAATTAAAAAAGAAGACAAATATCCTTGAAAAAAAAAAGACTCATCAACAACTTACGTTATGCAGATAACACAACCGTGCTTGCTGAAACTGAAGAAGACCTGAAGAGGTTGTTGAAGAAGGTCAAGGACTGTAGTCTTCAATATGGGTTGAAGCTCAACATCAAGAAGACAAAGATTCTCTTTTTTTTAAAATTTAGGTTGTTTATTTTTCATTTCAATGAACATCTACAGAGATTTTGGGATTCCATTCATTCATTGTTGCACCCTTCT